GTATTTCTTGTTACAAGACTTACTATCTATAAACTATTCTAGATGCATGTTTTGCTATATCGATTTGACTTCATATCAGCTTGTTGCTATTGACTTACCTTGCAGCTTATATCAAGGCTAATGTGCCAAGGCTCCGTTAGTATTGTTATTGTATAAATAATAAAAGAAATTAAAATTTATTATGTTTTTTCCCTAGTCTAGCCAGTTCTCTAAGAGTTTTTCTTATAGTATTCTTGTTTTTTCCATTCTTTTGAGTGATAACCTGTGCTGTTTTGTGTATGTGGCTTGGGTATCAACTTGGAGTCTTCATTTTTTTCCTATTTTTTCTCTTCTACTTATGTTTTTTTCTTTTTTCCATTGCTAAAATCTTTCACATCTGTGGATCCAGAGTTCTCGGAGTTTCTCTGTCATTCTGTTTGTGACTGTTCTCAGTGTATCTTTGATTTTTTTTCCATTGATTTGTCCCACCAGCTTAGTGAGGTTCTTTTCGTAGATTTCCTTAATTATATACCTAATGGTTCTTTCTGAATCATTGATAATCAATTCAAGTTGTTTTTTTCAGTTCCTTCTTTTTTCTATTCTGCTTGCTTTTACAGGACAGTGATCCAAAGCAATTAAAAAGGGAGGGAAGTTATGGTCTAACCTGGTCGTGTACCAGTAGTTAGGCAACTGATGCTTACTGATGCTATATCCAGCCTCTAGTATTAAAATTGCTCAAGGCAGATCATCTTGTGATGATCCTATATGGGATCCCTGGATCTCCAATGAGATTTGTAGCACTATGACACTTTGATGAACGGTTCATGATAGTAAAACAACTTATACTTATCATGATCACTCCTGGAATAGGTTCACAGGAATTTTGTCATTATCAGAAATTGAACCTGTGACCTTAGTACAGATGTACCAGGTATTTATCAATATGCTATAGTCCCACTGGAATACTAAATCAATAGATAATTTTTTTTTTTAATAAATAAAATGTAATTTTAGATGTTTTTAAAATTTCTTTGCCTTATACAATTATATCATCTTTTTTTTAATTTCACACTATAACTTTATATTTTTATTAATCTGTTTTTCATATTCTATAATAATTTTTCGCATAAATTTACAAAAAATTTCTTCTTTATATTCAAGTAATTGTTAACATAAAATATTTAATTCTTTTTTAATTTAGCAATTGATTTTCTTTTGATTGCATTTATAACTATTAGTATCTTGGATTTAAATTTTTTTATCAGATATATTTATATGTGTTTTGATATTAATTTTACTATTATATATAGTTTGTAAATTTTCAAGTAATAAACAATTTCATTTTTGATACTTTAACTTTTTTTGATATCTATTATTATATGTTTTTAAAATAATTCAATTATGGAATTTATAATACTGACCTTATTTTTTTTATTGGATTTCACTTCCAAAAAATTAATTATATTTAGGATTTATATGCTATTGAGGATAATAATTGATAAATAAAATTTAAATATGCTTTATTAACTTTTATAGCTTTTTGAAATGTTGCTTTACAACTGATATATAGTATTAAGAAACTAATGTTGTATTTTACAGTGCAAAAATTGAAATTTTTCATAAAAATTATGAAATAAAAATGTTATTGGCCTCCAATAATAATGAAATCTTAAGAATACTTTAGATAATTTTATTTTATATTTGAAAAAAGATATATATCATTATCTATTGTTTATAATATATTTTATATTATTTTTTTGACTTTGAATAATATAGTTACAAGAAGATGGGATTAAATACTATGCTTCTATTTCTAAAAGTTGCTTTTGAATCTAATCTGCAATTGTTTCTTTTTATAATCTATCCAATTATCTGGAATATAATATTCTTTATATTGATTATTAATAACAAAACTGTATATTATGGGATTGTTTTTGTATAATTCAATCTATTTAGTACACAATTGATTAAATTATTTTTGAGTCTAAGGATTTTTTACTTGATGTTAAGTTAAACTTAAAAATTTTTCATTATCAGAAGTACCATCATTTCTTATTTAATTCCAAGCTTGGATTGCTAATAATTTAAATCTATTCTTATAATTTTAATAAGCTATTTGTATAATTCTTGCTTTTCCAAAATTAGTCTTTGATTTATTGCATTCATAATTCCAATGTTCCTGCATCAGATCTTTAGGTTCAAGATGATCAACATACCTTCGTCTAGTAAAATGGAATGATTTTTTACACCTGTTCAATGGGTAGTATGAGTAAAATTCTATTACATGATTTGTTAAATTCAGGAAAATTTAGTATACAGTATATCATTGATATTGTTTATTTGTGTCATATGGTAAAGGAAAATTTAATAATTTCCATTATCATAGGCCAAGAATCCATAAAAATCATATGGCTATTTGCTTTGATTGCTGGAAACTCATAATAATCGATGATGTGAATCCTAAAAAATTGTTTTATGGTAGATAAAGTGTCAAATAATCTCTTATTATCGAAGAGTTCGTCATATAGTTTACCATCAAAAGCAAAATAATTTCCAATATATGACGCGACATATTTCATATAATATCCAGGATGAATGTTAAAGGGTTTTGGTAATGTTCTATCTTTCTTATCGAGAATAGTTTACGCAATAATACTTGCACTTCACTAAAAATATTTTTTTATTTCATTCATGTTAAAGTTCTAATCATAATGTATAATATGCTTCTTCATCATACCCAATACTTTTGCTTGCGGTTGATTTATTATATATGGTAATTTTTTTTCGTTTAATTTTATTTCACTTTATGAAATGAACAAAAAAAACAATTAATAAACTGATTTTGTAAATAAAAAATCAGAATTTATTTCAAATATTCATTAATAACAGATTAAAGAATTGCTTTAAGCACGATCACATGCAACCTTATCACATCTGAATAAAATATTGACAAACAGACCACGCAAGGTAAACATTGATTCGATTATCAACAAAATAAATGCATAGCCCGATCATTTTCATTTACATTTACATCAAGACTAGAACGCCATTGAAAATGAATAAATCAATAAAAGAACATTTACATCATGTGAACATCATTGGTGGTGGTGGATCCTCATAATCATCACTAAACTGCCTAATCAACTGGTTGTTCTTCTATCCTAACAATACTTTTTCCTATATTTAATCTTCTGCGCATTGACATGTTAAATAATTCTTTTTCGGTCATAGCATCGATTAGGTCTGCCATCCTGTCATCAACCTCTTCGGGTATAGGTTCAAGAAATCTTGATTTCTTTTTAAGTGGTTCGGGTAAATTTACTTGATATGTAACAAGTTTTCCCATTTCACTATGAATAAATTTCCCTTCATCAAGTGCAAACTCTCTAATTATTGCCAAAGTAATACCGCGATCATTAATTTTAGATGATGCTAAATATTGGTGGTTCTTTGTCTGCATAAAAAAGTAAATGGTCCAATTGTCATTGCAATCAGTTAAGACAGACATAGAATTTGTAGCAGATTTCTTATCAACTATGAATAATTCTCCGATAGCTTGACCCTCTTTAAAATCCTCCTTCTTTTTCTTAGTTTCAATCCAAACACAGTCGTTATCACTTGCTCCAATGGAAATATCGGTACCGCCCTGTAAAGTGATATTAAATGTCGTTATTGAATCTGTGTATGGACATCTTTTACATAAAAACCTCTTGGTAGGTTTGATTCTTTTTTAACCCATTTTTCAACTTCGGGCATTTGGTGGGCTTCATCAGTTTCCGTGTCCCATACGAATGGCTGGCAATTTATGGGACTAATAGGTTGAAAATCTTCCGCTGAGAGCTAATAATGGATAAATGATAAGATAATAAAATCATCAAATAATACGGGAGGTATATACTTACATTGAATTCCAATAATTTGAAAGAATCCATTATCATTCTTGCTTTCGTTTCCGAAAGATTTGATGCTTAATTGAATTAATTGTACACTCTAATGAGAAAACAAATATCTACCATTGATTTCGAACGTACAGATATAGTCTAGGTCGATTACAATACATGATGTTAGTCAATACGCACCACTCTGCCCTACATAT